ACTAATTTTGGTCTCTAACAGTAGGTAATTAGTGCATTAGCACTTTGAGTAACTTTGGGCTAGTTTAGTGGAGTATTAAGCGCATTCTTGGTATTTCTTATTTTACAACAGACTAGATCTAATATGGCTTATACACCCCCCTTAAATTCCATTTGTATAGATCAACTCACACAAGTGTTTATCGTATGGACTATACACATATAGTTTTTAATTATCACGGGTTTCATGAGCGCCGAACACTTAGCTATGCAGAATTTAAATGGGCGTACGGAAAGGCGTATAACGTGGAGAAAAGAGAATCCTGTAATTATACATGAATGCGTTTTATCCCATACCTCGCATATCAGAAACTGCATGGACTACTAGTATTCTCTAATAAACACTCAAAAATAATAGAGACTGCTATCTTTTCGATAAAATTTTTATGTCAGGCTCTAAAAACTGAAAATTTACCGTATCTATATCAATTTTTTTAACGCAAGTTAAACCTTTGGGATTGCTACCTCATAGAGACAGATTTTTTTTTTATCCCACTTAAAACGTATCTAAGCTTTCAAGTCGTGTTTGTTCACGGTAGAAATGTCATAAATATTATATCATTCCAAAATGCGCATTAAGTTTACAAAAAGTTTGTTATAAAAAATTCTTTTGAGCAAAAAACTTAAAAACCACGTGCTTTATTTCTTTTATCATGGGTTTGTCTAAATGCTGTTATCTGATTGGTCAGAAGGATTATTGCCTTGTTTATTCTGTGTATTAATAGTAATTCACGGTTATCGTTCTTGACAACCTTATTTAGAAATCGTCCAGACCTGTTTAATACAAATTGTGTTTTTTTTTGCCATATATAATTGTTCTTAAGATTGAATGAGTATAAATAAACAATAAATCAAAAAGATAAAGAGCAATAACTAACTTAAGAAAAAAAGAATTGGCATTGGTTTTATATATAGATCTGATTGTTATGTAACTACTAGTAATTATTTTTCTCTATTGTTCAAAGGAATTTAACAAAATAAGAAACAAACAAGATGTGTTTGTGACACTGATTCCCCAGTATGGCAAAATAGCAAAGATTAAACTTTTCTTAAATGCTAATTTAATTGATTGGTACCAAAAGTTGGGTATTCCCACTGGTAAATAATTATAAAATTTGAAAGTAAACCAATGTTAATTTTTTTTCAATCAGTATAAAAATCTCCAAGGTCAAATGGTCAATGTAATTGATATTAATTGAAAGGTATTGGCAATTAGAAATTTTATGTAGAGTATGGAAGACCTAGCTCTAACCGTTCAGAAGTTATGGCCAAGATTAATTTGTTTTAAAAGCACGTCAACTCCAAGGTCAAGGTATCTATTGTTCAAAAGATATGGCCAAAGAAAAAGTTTAAAATTTTCATGTAAAAGTCGGTCAAACTCCAAGGTCAAAAGGTCAAATTTGATGATACCCAGGAAAGGTCTTGTCACAAGGAATACACAAGTCATGTGAAATATGAAAGTCATAGCTCTACTCAATCAAAAGTAATTGGCAAGGTTAAAGTTTTTGCGGACAAACAGAGAGACAGACAGAAAGACAGACAGACAGACGGACACGACAAAAACTATATACTCCCGAAACTTCGTTCGCGGGAGCATAAAAATAAGACTAAAACAATTATTCTATCATAAATATATCGTATGTAATAAGATCATAAATCCGGAAAACAAAATGAACTCTTCACATGAAAAGTAGAACCCTGCCCCATAAAACTATTAGTTGGGTGCAGATGTTTAGGAATGAAGGATATGGATATAAGGAACAGTATTTAATGTAAAAGTCTATTATCAATACAAAATAGTATATAATAGTATGCATTCCTTGTTAATCCGTCACTACTTCTGTAAACCCTGTATATTTTACATTTTTTAATCATAATTTTTTTTAGTTCAATGTTTTTTTCCTTTGATGATGGCATATTTTTAATGTCCTTATTTCTCATACAAATACATCATGCATCGGGTGAAATATACATAAGAAAATTATAAGATTTTATTGAATAGAAAAAGACATCAATTTTAATTGAAATAAGAAATTGAAATAACATTACAATTTGTTAATAAGTAAATACATACATGTAAAAAAAAATTACAGAATTGTTAAATATAACTTTTGAATAGTGAATGGTTTATGAATGGTCAATGCTTTTACTTGTTTATAAAAGTTCAGGTTAAAAACATTTTATGTATTTCAAATGTCAAATGTTTAAAAATACTTTTAAAGAATACGGGTACATGGTAAAGGAATTGGGTACAAGCTTAAGGTACATAACACATATGAAGTAAAGCTACAATTGTAATAAAATTTAATTTTAAATCGTTTCTTCATAAGTCTCCAATGATTCTTTTACCAACTGCTTTAAATAAAACACACCACCTTTAAGCATAAAGAGTCCGGGCTCTTTGGGTATAAGGACAGTTTTGTCCTTTAAAAAGTCTTTAACTGCGGACTGGACTCTTAAACATTCTGCAAATCCGCCCACTAGAATTACAACATCGACCTTCTCCTTATTGAAAACAACCTTTAGATTTTGAAGTATCTGTTTAATGGGTTCATCGAAAAGACTATCAAGCTCTTCAGCGTTTATAACCATTTCCTTGCCCAGTCCTGGAGCAAAGAGTTGTATTATCTGTGTTTCTGGTTTTCGTATGTAGTATTGGGATTGATTAATGAAATACTGGTTAATATAAGGATTCCTTGACTGTTCAAAATAGCTACTGTATTTTCTTCTTAGAAGATCTACCAATTTTCTTTTGACACTGTTGCCTCCTCCGGGGCCTGTATATTGGAAAAACAACATGGTCCAAATGTTTTCCCAAATTTGCTCTCGAATGTACAGTGATATCCGTTGTTTCTCCTAAAAAAATAAATGTCAATTTAAGAATTATCTCAGTTACAAATTAAACCATATTAACCCTCAATAAAGATTTTAATAATGTCCTTGATGTAACAAACTTGTTATACTAGTGACTATTAGTAAGATCATGTTTAATATTTTCTTCGTGGAATAAATGGTACACAGAGAAAAGTGACTCATGTGATATTCTTGTCATCATCTTTTTATTTAAAAATTATATGAAAATCATGTAAAAATTATATAAATATTTTTTCATCTGAAAAAAATTATATGATATTCATATATTTTTAATAGAACTTTCATGTGACGTTTTCTTCACATGATATTTATGCAATATGCTCTTCAGGTAAAATTCATATGAATTGTATATGTCCAAATTGCATGATGTTTTCAAATAAATTTCAAGTTATCTTGTTTTCTGTCTCTTTCCTATGTTTAGAATTCACATGATTTTCATAAGCCACTTTTGCCTGTGTATATTTTTCTTTAGTAATCTAGTAATTTTGAACAATTAAAAGCATGCATGTACGAGGGACATTTAAAAAGTTCTGGCAACTGTTTAATAAAAGATTTACCGTTTTACGGAAATTATTGAGTTTGATATCATTGGAAAGATCAGAAAAATATACACATATTGTGACGTCACTTTATAATTTTTATGACGTAATAACTCCGAAAATGAGTCAGAATATAGAATGTTTAGCATACTGGCCATAAAAATGACGTAACAAAAGTTACATTTTGATCAAATTAAAATTTTCTAGACAACTTTTGCTCATTACTCGGACGCAAGGTAACGGACGCAAATGCCAGTTGGTGGAATGTTTACATAGACTACAATCTATCACATTGCATTTTATTTTGGAGATCTTGTTCTGAATTGGTTTTAGCGAGTGTCAAAATTAGCATGGTTTTATCGAATCTCGCTCAAACTTTTGCGTGAAAGATACCTAAATGTGAGAAAAAGGCAAAGTTGACAATCAAAGAAAAATGATTGATCGTGTTACAAAATTCGATGGCATACATTCGTCAGGTGTTTTAACAAGATTTGTGGAATCGATGAAAGCTTAAGAAAAGTTAAGTTTAGTGTGCCCCATACTTTTTCGTAAAATCCAAAACGGCGGCAGTGCAGTTGTAACCCGGCTGTACCTCCACATATTCGCAAATTTTAATGCATGGAAAATAAACAAGATTTTACATGTCTGAGTAACTTATATTCATTTTTTGGATTCAAAAGTCAAAAGCAGTGGTGAGTTTTGGGGCGCCGAAGTTGAATTTATATGAAAAAATACGCACACAATCAAGTCGGGGACAAGATTTCGTACATTTTATTCGTAAACGGTAAGAGTCCTGTTACTCAAAATATATTTGATTAAAATTGCATTAATATACTTCAGTTTAATACAGAACATGTTTTATTTCAAACAATGGACAGCTATATAAAAGACCGAAAATCCAGCCGTACCATGTAAATCAAAATCTGAAATGAATGTCTGTGGCAGCATAATCGGACATAAACCGTGCTCGTAAACAAACCATACAATGAATAATGGAATTGCTGATAAACAGTATCATAGTCCTACTCTACCTCTTTGCAAATTAAAATTTTCTTTGAAATATTTTTTTTCAAATAAGCCTTTGACAGAACTTTTACGGTTGTCTCATGTGGATAAAAATGTGACTTTTCAGTATGCTAAACATTCTATATTCTGACGTCATTTTCGGAGTTATTACGTCATAAAAATTATAAAGTGACGTCACAATATGTGTATATTCTTCTGATCTTTCCAATGATGTCAAACTCAATAATTTCCGTTAAACGGTTAATCTTTTTTAAACAGTTGCCAGAACTTTTGAAATGCCCCTCGTAAACCGACAATTTTTCCTGGACTTAGCAAATGACTTTGTCAAATGAATATTTTTGTTTAAAAAATAACTTACCGCCGATGTCAACTATCATATATTTATCTCCCTTGGTCAAATTGTGAAAAGCAGTGTTCAGTGTGCCATCAGTGTGCTGAGCATATTGCATCTGACAGGAGAGTGAAACGGCATGAGATTCCAGTATGGTAAAAACGTGATCTTTTTCCAAAGATAGCTGCAATGTTAAGGTAGGGCTAAAGACCAAAATGTTGGCAAGGTAAAGACAAACTTAAAGTTACTCGGCAGAACGTGTGCAAACTCGTCCCGAATATGTCTTATTGCTCGTTCTATCATATAAGAGGCACATCGGCTTATGATGATTTTAGCACTGACATTCCTTCCTTTCGAGTCAGGTATTTGAATGCTTCTATCCATACTCTGTAAAAATTTGATAAGAAAAGAATTAATATGTACGTATAGGTGTCCGACCGAAAAAAAAATATTGGAAAAATGTAACTGGTTAAGGAGATATCGTGAAGGTAAAAGAGAAATTATTTCAACTGAAATTAAATGAGACTTTTACAGATTCTGCGATACACATTGTCATTGTGTACTGTATATTTTTTTTTTTTTTTGGCCTAACAAAATTTTGGGTTTCCCACAGCGAAACATGGACACTACCATTTGTTCTATAATTTTGAAGGGTGTCCATATCTTATCCACGCTTGCTTTTTATTTAGTGCCATTTTTTAAAAAAAACTAAATTATCTGTCAATTATTACTAGTCATATGGGAGGCAAAGGTCATCATTTTTGAGCTCATAGCCCACAGTACCTTTATTTTTTTACCTTTGTGCTTGCTTCATATATCAAAGTCATGAAGTTTTCGAAGTAAAAGACCTCTTCGGCTTCCTTTTGTCCTCGAAGATTTGCGTACTCCTCTCTTGCTTTATGTCCAAATGAATGAATTTGCAGGTCTTTATCTAGCAGAAGAACAGTAGGGATTTTCTCAAGATGGCTGTGTTTGTTACTAGTCAAACTAGGAGTGGTCTTTGTTGAATTCATTTCCGAGAATGCAAAGCTTAAATATGTATTTCCAAGATCAATGGCCACAACAAAAACATCGCTCTCTGACAATGGTATTAAATCAATATCTGTGTTATAAAAAAACATCGTAAATTCAAAATCTACATAAAATCCAAAATGTATTTCAATGTTAATCTGTTCTTAAATGATTTTTTTTTTCAAAGCCATATTATTATTTTATTTTAACATGTATTATTTTAATCTAATATCTTTTTTTTTACAAATTTGCTTATGATTTATGAATACCATTTGTGCTTTGTTTTTCTTCAACATCTCCAAATACAACAGATAAATCATCGGGTTCCAAACTCAAGTCTAAATTTTGCATTAAGGGTTGAAAAAGAAGTATGTCTGTCAGCTTCCCTTTCATGTCGCCTTCTTTAACATCATTTTTAAATTTCAGAAAACTTCCCCTGTTAGGAAACTCTAATTCGATGTTAATGGAACCTCGACTGCATCTACCTTTTATTATGCCAAAATTTGTCTTTATATTGCAAATAATATCAAAAAATTTCTCTAGCACTTCTTCATGTTCAGATGAATCGGTACCGTCTTTCCATTTATCTATCATTCGATCAGTCTTTTTTATAAGCTCTTTAATTTTCGGATAAGTGGTTGGTTCAACATTTTGTGCAAGCTTTTCAAGTCTCGAAAAATACTTCTTGATCTCATTCTGATCTGAAAACTCTCCAATTCCCTCCAAAATCGAACTCAATATTTTACAAAGAATATCCGAAAAACAGGTGCAAAATTCTGTCTTGGTGTTGTCCTTTGAATCTAGATCGACTTTCAAAGACGAGTTGACCGTGTCATCTGAAAGTAAACAAAACAAAAAATATAAATGTTCGGTTTAAAAGTGCATATTTTACATATAAGTAAATTTTGTAACAAGCAAACGTTCAGTTCCGGCTCATAATACCTAAAAACATCTGCTAAACAAAATTGTGAATAATTATTCTCTCAGTCACAAAAATATGAAAGTACGGTTTATGCAGAGTAATTTGAAAAGAAGGATAAAAATATAATGAAAACATAATATTGGGGATATATATATAAAAAATAAATCATGAGGACTACTCCGAGTTCTTAAACGTGTAGAGTCAAATTAGTTTCAATTATCAATTTCTGCATATACTTTGAAAGAAGATACATGCTTTTAACATGCAATGGAATTTGCTTGCTCTTTCCTTTTCCGACTGGGTTGCAGACAATTAAGTGATATTTGGCAGTGTCTGATGGCTTGAGATCTTGAACCATCAGTGTTGGTTTTGACAGATCCTCGGAACTCCCTTTGTACTTCGGTAAAGCAATGTTGATATTTTCCACTTCATTATTAATCACCTTTTGCCATTTTACATACAGTGGGTCGGGAATACTGCATATTTCAGCAAGACATGAGAATTGTTGTACATCATTAACTTTCGTTATGTGAGCAACAGGTAAGCCTGAAATCAAATTTGGCATTCAAACGGGTGATGTAAATTTTCTTGCAATTATTGCATGCAGTAAAAAAAAATACAGTATTTCCTTTTAAATAAATACTCAAATTACCTCCTTCAATATCAAGCTTTATTTCTTTGCTCTCTGTAGTGCCATTAATATTTTTAACTTTTAGTGTGTAGACTCCATAGTCACTAAAATCTATGTTGTTAATCAGTAAAGTAGGTTTCCGTCTATGATCTTTGCTCCCCTGGTACTTTTGAGATTTGATATCTAATTTCATGGATTTTAAAGTTCTAATTTTGAGCCACTGTATCCTTTTTGGCGTTGGATATGATTTCACCTTTCCTTGCAAAGTTATGGACCCTCCAAATGAAACCTTTCTGCAAGTTTCTCCCAAAATTTCACATTTCGGCTTTCCTTTGAAAATAGTGAATCAAAGAATCATGATTTCAACCAAATGTAGAGACAATTTCATATGCACACTTTTATATTTGCTTTATAAGAATCTGAGAAGAATAGCTTATAGCTTTATGGGACATATATGATACAAATAATATTTTCAATACATCGGCAAAAGAATAAATTGCGTATTACTTATATAGTTTGCTCTTTGTGATAGTTATGATAACTTTGAAGGGTTTGATTTTGCTCTCCTGTGGAAAGTGAAATGTAATAAAGCAAAAATCCTCCTCATGTATATTTAACAAAACTATGAAGAATGGAAACTTTCACCAGGTTAAGTTTAAATATTCCCTCCCTCCACTGAAATGGGCACACAGACAGATAGGCCTATAGACATGATAATTTCACTATTAACCTTGTACAGCTGTCTTGCCAGAACGGTGGAGAACTACATCAGATATTTAAATACCTTCTTTAATCCTAAGATATACTTCATTGCTTCTTGCCATCCCCGACTCATTTTTCACCACCAGTTTATAATGTCCAACATCATCTGTGTCCATTTTCTTAATGATGAGTTTTGCATTTGTTCTATTTCCAATGCTTCCACGATATTTTGGGGTAGAAATGTCAAAATTCCTGCCTTCTTTCTGCCAAACAGCTTGTAGTATGTCGTATGGAGACTTAATAGTGCTGCTAATTTTTGCAGTTTTAAGGTATCTCACTGATTCTGGTCCTCGAATTTCAATGACTGGGAGTGCTGAAATATGTTTAAAACATGATCAAACATAAAACGGATATAAGTTATCGCTCTTTATTTTGTTAGTTTATTGCTTACATGTATTAATCACTTTAATTGTTTGTACCTTCTCGTTTTATTTGTTTATCTATTTTCTTACTGTATGTACTGCTACAGTTGTTCCTTGTTTTCTCTGTTAGCTTTTTATCATACTTACTTTTTTTCTCTGATAATGATTTCAATTCCCTTTCTGTATTGTTTTTGATTGATTTAAGACTCTTTTCCAATGTACTTTGGTCTACTTTTGAGAAATGAATGTCATCGATTTGACGTGCTTGAACAATTGTGCCCAATCTTTGAATTGCCTTAAACAAGAATATTTTAAAACAAAATGTAGAAAATTCTTTTTGTTTTCCAAGATTTGTAATTAAAAAATAAAAAGAAAATATTATGATAAACTATAAAATTCATATATATATCACATACAATGTGACCTTAATTTATGCGAAAAACCATGTAAGTTTAAAAAGTGCGTTGAGCTGTAGATTTGAATTTGAAGCTTTCAACAGTCTATGGTGACGTTGATAAAATAAGTTAATGAAACAAGAATATCATCAGTCTCGTTCAAAGTCATCATTTCATAAGTTCTATTGTCGATACAATGACTTTGCCAGCAAATACAATTTAAGATTGAGTCATGACTGACGTTTTTCATACCAATAGTTAGTCCATTATTGATACACTGAATTGACGACGGATTTTTTCGTTATTTCCCAATCAAGACACTGACAAGGAACACATGGCGGGTGTGACCTGTCAGCAGAAGATGCTCACTCCTCTATGGCACCTGATCCCACCTCTGATGTTTCGGAAGTCCGTGTGCTCTGCTCTGATTTCGTATTTTTGTATGGACTTTTTAGCTTGAATATTTTTCGTTATCTCCTTGTATTTCATCCCATGCCACTTGCTTGCTAGGATTAAACATACCAGCTAGTGGTCAAAATAATTTTAGAATATATTTAAGAAAAGCAGTTTCTTCCACTATCACTTAATAATTATCATTTATTTTCTTATATTTATTCTCAATGAATATTTACTCCTTTATGTCATATGAAACAATTAATTGCTGTTAAGTCAGTGAACAACACTTAGCAAATAACACGTGCAGATTTCTTGAGCAGTTAATTTTCCGTCATTGAAACGTGCAATGGCGAACATAACAATAATACAAAGTCTTACCTTCTTAATATTTGTACAGTTATGAATTAGGCAAATGTAAACTTGTTACCGTTAAAAATAATAATAAATGCGTGATTCCTTAAAAACATTGAAGCGAAACATAATGCAAATTTAAGGTATGTCACTCGTGAAATTTGTTAAATCAAGGATTTTTTGAGAAGTATATTTTGGCCTAAATATCTTTTTTGTTACGAACGACAGAGGAAAGGCTGATCGGCAAGTAAACACCCTCCCTGCTATAATTCTACGAGGAAATTGCAAAATTACATTACCATACCTTATTCATACTGTTATACAGTCATATAAAACTAAGGTAATATTCTAAAAGGTTATAATTAATTTTGTTAGACATTAAGTAAGTAAAACAATCTTAATTCTAAGATAGAACATAATCCTAGCTTTAAACAAAGTTACATTGATAAGATCTGTGTATTGGTCAGCCGGAATCTTAGTAAGCAGGCTAAATGAAATGATGGGACCTCCTGGATGGATAAGTACTTTGATTGCAGCTTCCGCGTTTAAAAACCGTAACAGAGACCATTAGACTTTGCAGTTCTTCTAGGATCCCGAAGATGTCAGAGGCACAACTAAGAGCTGACCGAGAATTGGTACACTTTTGGATCATTTGTTAATTTAAACTGGTGATTTTATGGTTAATAATTGGAATAGTTTCATTGGTAAATTTAGGTGAAATCTGGATTATATATGGTGCACTGATACTATTCTTGAAACATAACCCTTATTAAATAGGAATTAACTCGTTAGTACTGGTGATGTTTTTACACCGAGTTACAGGTGATAAGACCGGATTATAGAAAGCTGTTGGTGGCGTTGATTCACCAGAGCTGTTCTTAAGAAGAGTATTGGTAATAATTGTTGGTGGCGTCGATTCACCACAATTTATTTACCAGAGTTATCATACAAAAACTTCACCAGTAGTTTTCTTTAATCATATTAGGGTAATAAATAGTTTAATGGGTGTTTGAATTTATATAGTATTCATTTCCTTGTTTTGTCAACAATCCGACATCATCTTTATATTTTAATAAACTTCATAGTGTCTTAGTATTTTGGATTTCTTTTGTGAATTCTTCAAACTGAGGAGGTTACGTAACATTACGAAGTTGGCTCGTTAAATATCCGAACCCAAACTTTGTTGACGTTTCGAACCGCGTCACAATACGCTTTATTCTCACAAGAATCACACATGATATTCATTCTGAATGCTTTTAAACTCCAATTTCTGGTGTTTGTTTACATCAATATTCTCGTTACGATTCAGTTTCACTCTGCTACTGCATGATCAACAGTTATGACATCACGGGTTTGGTATGTAACCCCAGTGATAATTACAGAGGCCCAGGATCGACAAAATTCCGTTTACACTATACCTCTGCATATTTTGATTCATTTTTACGACTTCAAATCAATCTTAGATATCGATTTTAAAAAATTATTATCTCTAAACCTCACGTCATAAAGCTTACTATGACGTCATATCGTATAGGCAAGTAGAATATTTGGTTGTAACCTTAAACTACCTGCGGTTAAATATTTTGAATAATATTTATCATTGAACAAGTCTTGCAAATTAATGCGCTTTAATTATTGTGTGACCTTTTTGCACTAAAAAGTAACATATTTGTGGTATCAAAAAACTACATAGGCAAGAAAACATTTTTTTAAATCAAGCTTTTTACGACTTAAGTGCTGATCAGTCACAAGTATTGAGTACTTTAAAATAAATAAAGAAAAGGTTGGGGTCAGTAATGTTAATTTGGAAATATTGGTCAAAATATGTGATTTTCAGGCGAAAAATGGTGTAAATTTTATCTTGACTTTTTCGACATATCTTCATTTTTTGGCAAAGTTTGTTGAAGGAAGGTGTCAAAAGTGTTCTAAAAATATAAATTAAGACCTATATTAAATATTCC